CCCCAAAACCCCAAAACCCCAAAACCCCAAAACCCCAGCTTCTCTCCTCAGATTTGAATACGTATTAATTCCCAAAAATTTCTACTTGTTAGCTTGTTTTCTCAACTTCCTATCATTTCTCTGGATGTTCTCTAATTCATCTTTTTGCTCTTGAGCCTTAGAAAAATCATGATTCAACAAAGCGATAAGATCTGTTCTAAACCTACCATCGGATGGTAGAGGATTGTTAATATAGTTCAGCTTGTAAGGCCTTAATGAGTGATAGTTCCACACTTGAACATCATCAACGCATAAAGAATTAGTCCAGTTACCTTCAAATCTAGCAAACACTTCTATTTTATGCTTTTTCTTCATTTTTTCTACCTCATCCCTATTAGATTTGTAGCTGAAATCCTTTGAGTCTGTGACCACACCATCAAAGTAGTCATGGTTGGTCTTCTGAGAGGACCCGAACATCCTCTTGAACCATCCCTTCTTGTCCGGGTTGAACACACATTCTGCATAGAGACCGTTGGTCTCATCCTCTGCTTTTAAAGTTTTAGTGTAATCATAGGTTCTAGTACCTTTCATTAGACCGTGGATCTCGCCTATAGGGAACTCAGTGAACCTAATAGTGTTGTCCATATCTGGGAAATGGATGGCAATATACCCCATTTTGATTCCAGTGATTGTTGAGAACCCAGTCTGAGCCTCGAATTCAAATCTTCCGTCCAAATAAGGTTCTCCCACAGCTCCATGTTTCCACATCTGAAAGGCAGAAATAGGTGGGTGATGACTAATCTGTTCTCATACAAATTCGTATTCACCAATGGTACTTTGGAAAGTCTCTCCAAGGATCGGGTTAAATGGCTTCATCATCTGCGGTTCCAGCTGCATTGACACTATGTACCAACTTACAAGTATTTTTAACCTCTCAATAGGGTTTTTCTCAGCAACAGCTTTGTCAAGGTAATATGGCAAAAATCAAAAATCATTGGCTACCTTCTCAAGGTGAGACTTTGGCTCAAAAATTTTAATTGGCAAAGATACATTCATGATTGATTTTCCAGTCAGAAGATTAACCCCAATCTTTTTGGCAAGATAAAGCAACACACCTCTCTGATTATTTTACATTCTCTTCGTTAAGATAATTCAGTGCTGCATGATCTCCAAAATCAAAGTCTCTCTTTGAGAAGGTATCATTGACCTCGTCTTCTGCTAGCTCTAGGGTTTCTTTGGTCTCTTCCCTTGCTCTCTCTAGTTTAAAAGCTTTATCCTGATGCTTGAGGACATCCCTAATAATGTAATCGATCTCCTCCACATGATGTATTTCTCCATCAGTATCGGCAAGCATCAATTTATCATGAGTGGCATTGTATAGTTTCTCTTTGTCGCTGTCATCAAGTGTGGCTACTTCTTTCTCGCCACCCTTCTTCTTGTTCTTCTTCATTTCCTTCTCAAAATCCTTGAGCATCTTGTCTTGGTCAAAATCTTCCATTTTGGTTGATATTAGTAAATCTATTTTATTTATCTCCTCCGGGGTTTTGGGGTTTTGGGGTTTTGGGGTTTTGGGGTTTTGGGGTTTTGGGGTTTTGGGG